GAGCACTACTGACGTCAATTTGCTACAAATGCGCCACACTGCCTTCCGAGAGGGGTCACTTCTACACCAAATCCTGGCGGCGCCTCCAGGGGCGCGCTTCACTGCATCTGGCAACCGCAAACAGTTCGTTGCGCGGCTGGTTGCCCTGCTCATGCTCAACGCGGCCCTCTGGGACTACCGACATTCCGCGCCACACAGCGAGACGTTCCTTCAGACGCTGCAGCAGGCGGTGGTGGACAGCGAGGTGAATATGAGCGGTTCCGTTGAAGCACTGCTGCAGATCTTGCTCGAATGCAATGACGGATCTGTCAACACGACCAGCGACAGTTGCAGCCAAGGACCGGATTTCACGCAATACTCCCAGACCGCAAACACCCCATACCATCGGCCATGGTTCGCTGGTCGGATGCTCAAGGTCGCCAAGCGCCTCAGTTATGAGTCTTGGATGCACGTCAACTATATTCTCTTCTCTTGCCTGAGTATGCAACCAGGCACGCCAAATGTTGCTCTGTGGGAAGATAGCCTTCGACAGGAGATCCTTCACGCGCCGCTCACCAAGTATATCATGCCCTCTTTGGAAGAGCTATGACACCAGCCCCACGATTATATATTCATTCTTCTTTATCAGATTCCATATTCCTGCAACACCCTACCTAGACTCGGAGTCATTCCTGCACCTTCCCCCTTTCTTGTGATTCGTCCTTGATGACATAGACACTATTTTTTCTCTCTCTCATCCGTCTGCAACAACACTATACATTCCTGGGTGCAACCTCTCTTATATATATGCTTATCCTTCAAACCACCCCTTTTGTTCACTGCGTGTTATACCCCAGCTTGTACCAACGAACTCTGAAGCCATAGATTTCTTTTTTGCTTTCATTCTTCCGATGCTGTAATTGAATATCAATTGGAGCATCTATCTATGACATGATTATTATACATCTTGATCGATGACCACAACTGACTCGATTTCGCCATCATGCAACGCTAATTGTGAAACTCACAGCAGAACCCCAATGCAGAATGCAGTCAGCTATCATATACAACAGGAGTTTATCTATATATATTATATATTAAGATGCTTGCATTTTGCAAGTCGATTGGGATGTTTAGGTTCACCTGTGGTGTAGGGGAATTGCACTCGCCTCCGCCGAAGAAACCATGGCTAGCCCCCCTTTCTTGTCCTGCTGGAGCTCCAGCCCCTGGTGATGATCCATTTCATCTCTCGACTCTCTGCGATCGAAGACATGCTCGGCCTCCTCTAGCGACCGGCCCGCGGTCTCGGGGTAGGCGAACCAAACCAGCAGGGCGGCGGCCCAGTTGAACGCGGCGAAGCAGTAGAAGTAATTGAAGCCCATGCGTGAGCGCGCGATCGGGGTGCACTGGGCGAAGATAAGGTTCAGACTCCAATTTGTGGCGGTGGCGACTGAGGCTCCCCGGGCGCGGATGGCGGTGGGAAAGATCTCGGACTGGTAGAGCCAGGAGATGAGGCCCAGGCTGGTGAAGAAGACGGAGAAGACGAAGAACAGGGCGATGGCGGCGCGGACGGCGGTCGCCGGCGGCGGCGGGTCGGTGGTGAAGTTGCGGTAGGCTTGGCCGAGGGCGGCTTCGATGCACATGGTGGCGCCCATGCCCACGAGGGAGGGGAGAAGGAGGGTGCGACGGGGCACCCGGTCGATGAACAGGATGATGAAGACGGTGTTCCAGAACTGGGCGAGCGCGCCCCAGATGCCCTGGATCATGAGCGAGGTGGTCTCGGAAAGGCCGAGCGAGCGGTAGAGGCTCGGGTTGTAGGTCGAGATGATGTTGGTGCCCGAGCACTGCGTGAAGGCTTGCATGCCGCAGGCGAGGAGGATGCGATGGCGCCAGGTCGCCGAGGTGAAGAGGAGAGCACGCCAGGTGCGCGGGGCGCGGCGTCGCTCTTCGGCGATGCTGGCCCGGATCTGCGCGTATTCGGTCTCGACGAGGGAGGTGTTGGCCGCGTGGAGGCGGGTGAGCGTGGTGCGGCCTTCATCGGTGCGACCCCGTTCGATGAGCCAGCGGGGGGATTCGGGGAGGAACCAGATTCCTCCGCTGAGGACGATCGCAGGCAGAGCTTGCAGGGCGAGCGGAAAGCTCCAGGTGAAGTTCCCTGTGCGGAGAGAGCAGCCGTATCCGACCCATTGCTGATGGAGAAGGTTAGAAAGTATATATTTTCGGTGGTTCGAGCAACCTACTGCGACGACTGCCCCTAATCCAATCATCCATTGTTGGAGGGATCCTAAGAAGCTTCGGATTCGCGGGGGAGATACCTCACTCTATTCCAATTGATTGTCAGACTGATTCGAGGATGAGGGGATGGGGATGATGAGGAACAAGGGCTGGAGTAGTTGTGTAAGAGGACTTACACAGTAGACGGGGATGATGGATGACATCAGTCCCACCGACAGGCCGGCAATCAAGCGGCCAGCAATGAGCATGGCCACATTGACCGCGCCCGCCTGCAAAGCGGCCCCCAGGGTCGCCAGAAGACCGCCAACGAACAGCACGGGTCTCCTACCCCACGGGTCGGAGAGGTATGAGACAACCAAGGAACCTATGATAGCGCCGCCTGTCACAGGGTTGTCAGGTCTGTCAGTCCAATAATAATAGTTGAATGGGTTGAGCGGGTGGGCCAAGTCAGCAGCAGATTGCAGGGAACCAGATGCACACACCGTTATACGAGGCGACGATCCCGCCCGTGGCGGCATCCGAAGGACTATGGAATCGGTGTTTGAAGGTCTCCTGGTCGATGACAGTGGAGATCACCCCGGAATCATATCCGAATAGGAAGGATCCCAATGTTGCGAACATACAACACGCGGTGACCAACAAGTGGGAAGAGGTGAACATGGTTTCAATTGGGAGGGGGGGGGTTTCCTTTTGGGAAAGTGGGTTGTGGTTCTGGAAGAAGCTCGGGCGAAGCAGGATTGCGAGGCGAATACGAGCTGCCACGTGAAGGAGAATCCCGATTGCCGGACTTTGTTCTGTTTCTGATGGATGTTCTAATGGTTATATAAATGTTAGATCCATGGATCAGTGAACGACATTGTCATGACATGATATAGATGTTGTTGTTCAAGGCTTTGAGGGGGAGTGTTGCAAGCAAGTGCAGCGCTGAGCTGCGCTGAGCTGAGGTTGAATAATGGAATTGACGATAGTAGATAGACGATAATGGAACAATGGAATAATAGAGTACTGTACTAGAATGCAGGCGAAGTCCAGATCAGTAAGCAATTAGACAGATACTCGTAACTCCATAGAAGAGTGGGAGAGAGAGACAAATGACGCAGAAGTCTTTAGGTCATTCATTCCCTGGCTGGAAAATAATAATACAAAAAATTAATAAGTTAATTGTGGAAGGACAAGGGAAAAGACGTGGAACAGGAATTTATGGCCTGAGGCATCCAAGCGGACTTTTCACCCTCACTCGCCCTTCGGCCTTTTGAAGGGCGCGACCGAGGCTGACTGATGGAGTACTAGTCATATCGGCCAAGACGCCGAGGATGAAGGATTAACTAACCGTGCCCTGATCCGTGGGAATATTCGAACTCTGTAAAGTAAGCACCTTCTATTTAATGGCATTAAATGGAAAGTGACTAAGAGAATTCATATGCTGACAGGGATCAAAAAACGAGCAGAACCAGCATAATGAACTAATGCTCGCCGATTGTCTTATGCTGATACACCTGCACATCGACAAATGCCGGCCAGTTCGCCGAAGCCAGCCCTACCTATGAGCCATTTTTCTTCTCTCACCTTCAACTCAGGGCTCTCACCTTCCTTTTCCACCGTCGTTTTCTGGTTGCATGTGCGTAGTTTGGAAATCTGCTCTGTCTCCATTGGCTCATCTAGTCTCCTTTTCTCTCCCTCTGCTTCCCAGTTCCTCGCGATCCTGCTCCCTTTCCATCCCAATCCCTTCCTCTGTGTGCGCAAAGGGTCCCCCCGTCGCATTCGGTCGCCAGTAGAGGCTGCTACCCCTCCACCTCGACAAGGATCTCTCAACTGTGTCGAATAGAAGAGAGTTGTCTTTAGAAACATCTTGTTTCCCTCCGAGGGACCAATGTAAATGGCCCCCCTCCCCGTTCAAGCTCGTATTTGCCCGAATGCTTGATTCTTTTGCTGTTCTACCTTTCCCTCTCTCGGATATAGCGTCCAATTCCCCGATGGGTCAATCGGTCTATACAGTACTATACAGTACAGTACAGACTATCACTACCCCAACCACTTTTCTTCTTCATCTGTCCTCTTCATCCATGATCCAGGTAGAGAGCAAAGGAAGAACAGGCGGTAGATGGGGCAAAGGAAAATATGACTGTCATGGGATCGGAGGTCCGATGTATGATGCATGGTCTGGGCAATATGTGGAGTTTTTTTTTTTTGACTCAGCGCAAGTCTTACTAATAAATGCTTTCTTCCGCTGGTGCCCCAGACCAGACAGACCCTCAGACAGACCCTCAGACACTCAGCCAGAGAGAAACACAAACCAAGACTCCTCGTCTCTTCGACTCTTACCTACTCTTACTCTTTCTCTTCCTACATACCCATACGTACACAGACTCTCCCTCTGTCCATTTCTTTCTTGGCTTTCGACCTATCTTCCACCGCAAACAAGCCAGTGCCTGCGCTTTCGTGACGTGTCGATCTTCCTTTCACTCTCTCGGCGAACGATCCTCGCGCTGCTCTCTGCTCTCTACTCTCGGTCCCTCCCTCCGTCCCTCCTCCCTCCCACTTCGTGGTGCCTTCCATGACCCTGTGAGACGCCAATTCCACACCCTCGTGGACGTGCGATCGTTCATCGGCTCGCCACGCGGGTCGCCGTCCCCTTGCTGATCGGAACAGTTCCTTCCTCGTTATCACTTCCGATCGGATCTCCGACTTGCTCATACCCCCTTGCATGTCTTTGCGCCGACCGCCGTGAGATCGATCTTCTTCTGCTCTCATCCCCCACACCCACGTCATCTGCCTCTCTCTCCCTCATGGCATCCCCTTCCGGTCCGTTAATCGCCGACCCTGCGAATGAGGACGATCCCTCTGCTGTCTCCGATTCGTTTTTTGCTTCCCATGATGATGTCGATCCCGCTGCCCCGGCCCTTCATGACGAAGATGATTTACCCATGAGGGACGAGGGGCTCAAGCCTGTCAAGGAACCGCTGCCTATGCAAAAGCGTCGCCGGGTAACGCGGGCCTGTGATGAATGTCGTCGCAAGAAAATCAAGTGCGACGGCAAGCAGCCGTGCACGCACTGCACGGTCTACAGTTACGGTAAGTCCCCGTTCTCCCTGTCGGACCTTACTTCCGCAACCCTTTCCTGGCTGTGGTCGCTCATCAGCTTTGGTCGTCCGCAGAGTGCACCTACGACCAACCTTCCAACCGTCGTCGCAACCCCGCCCCGCAATATGTTGAAGCTCTGGAAACTCGACTGCACAAAGCCGAGGCCCTGCTGCGCGTCGTGCTTCCGGATTTAAATCTGGACGATCCACAATTCGACGTGCATGCTACCGAGCAGATGCTGGCCGCCATCAAGCGTGAAAAACCCCCGCCTCCCCCGCAGCAACAGCAACAGCAGCCGCAGCAGGAACCGGCTGCACCACCTGCACCTGCTGAGACGACGAACGGATCGCAACCCTCAGTCCCCGCTCCCGCTGACGATACGACCACGGACGGGGCTAATGGTGATGAATCGCTGCTTGAGTCGATGGTCGATAATTCCGGTTACCTCGATCTTGATGACCAGGGACATTGGGATTATCATGGACACAGTTCTGGTATGACATTTATCCGACGCCTGCGGAAGCAGCTCGGAGCTTCCGACATGCCGCTGCCTACTCTCCGGTCGCGACCGGTCGCGCAAACGCTCTTCGACAGCCCCAAATCCGTATCTGAATCGCCGCAAGATGCGTCCCTGCCGCCCACTCATGATCTTCCCTCCCGGGAAATTGGCCGGCGACTATGTCACAACGCCTTGGACGATGCCTGCGCGTTAATGCGTTTCGTGCATGAACCTACGTTTTACACCATGTTTGATCGAATCTATGATACGCCATTAGACCACTTTACCAACGAGGAGAATTCCTTCCTGCCGCTACTCTATATCGTAATGGCCGTCGGATGTCTGTTTTCTGACGATGGCTCCAGTACCTTGGACATCTCAGGCTACGAGGGTGCTATCGGGCAAGGGTAGGTCGCTTCTTGTCGGTCTGTTTGAGAAATAAACTAATTCGCGATTGCAGGTTTCAATACTTCAAAGCAGGTCGCCAGCTCCTGGAAATAACCGACTGCCGCGACTTAACCTCGCTTCAGGCCATCTGTTTCATGATTCTATTCCTGCAATCGTCCGCCAAACTTAGCACATGCTACTCTTATATTGGTATCGCGCAGCGATCCGCTCTGCGATTAGGCCTGCACCGCAATGTGACGATACACTTTACCCCTCTTGAGCAGGAGATGCGCAAACGCATCTTTTGGACGATTCGCAGAATGGATGTCTATGTCAGCACCTTACTCGGGTTACCTCTGATGCTGAACGACGATGACATCGATCAAGTGTACCCAGAGCCGGTCGATTCGGAATTTATCACCAAGACTGGCATCCTACCCGTGCCTTCGGATCATACCCCTTTGATGGCTGGGGCGATCGCGCATACCCGGTTGACCAACATCACACTCAAGGTTGTGCAATACATCTACCCTGTGAAGAAAGCGCAACATCCTGTCGCATCGGATCAGCGCTATGTGGTCAGCCACTCCAAAATCCGGGAGATCGAGAGGGATCTTCAGGCCTGGATGGAAGAGCTCCCCGCGGCTCTGCGACCGGGGACGGAGGTCTCCCCACAGCTCGAGCGGTAAGTTGTTTCTCTCTCCAGGGGTTGACTATTTGTCCTTACTGACTATCCACAGCATCCGCCAACTACTCCGCATTAGTTACGCCCACGTTCAGGTCATACTCTACCGGCCCTTCCTTCACTATGTCTCCAGCGGCTCGCAAGCTCGAGGAGTGGACCGGCGATCCTACGCTTGCGCTGCGGCCTGTGTTAGTGTCTCACGCAACATCGTACATATCACGACCGGCATGCATAAGAGAGGGCTACTCAATGGATCGTTCTGGTTCACCATGTATACCACCTATTTCGCCATTTTGTCGCTGTTGTTCTTCGTGCTCGAGAATCCCGATTCTCCAACCGCAAAGGATGGCGTCCTCAAAGACGCCATGGAAGGCAAAAACACGTTGGCAGGATTAGCGAAGAAGAGCATGGCGGCAGACCGGTGCTCTCAGAGTCTCAATGGTCTTTTCAAGAACCTTCCGGAGCTGCTCAAGAATCGTCAGAGTGCGAAGAAGCGGGCGAGCTTGAAGCGGCCCGCCCCCTCGTCTGGCCACCACCACCGCCCACCTCCCGCCAAGAGCGCCGCGAGCGCTGCCGCCTCGGTGCCCTTGGAGATGCCACCACCACAGCGTGCCAACACTTTCCCTACGCAACTGCTCAGTCGATCGGTGAAGCAAGAGGCTAGCAATACCCCCAAGAGCTTCGATGACAGTGCTGCTAGCCGCAGTCCTGCTTCTAATGTGCGCCCAAGCCAGCCTTCAACGTGGATCCCGTCCACGCCCGAGATGGCCGCTGATGCCGTGTCCACGCCGTCGGATATTGCATCCAACAACGACAGGACGCCCGCGTCGACAGGGGCATCTCCGGTATCCATGTCGCTCGCCTTGGGCGAAGTCACACCAAATCAATTTGGGGCGCACGCATTCGCCAATCCCAGTCAGTTCCCAGATCTAATGCCCATCATGTTCCCATCGGACGACCCTTTTGCCTATCCGACACAACCGATGTCTACACTAGAGAACGATCACTTCGGCCAGGACCCAGCCAGCGCTACGACTGCCACCTCTTTCGCCCCTGGTTTGGCCTCCACGGCCGACGGCAGCACCGTCAGCACGATGGGAGTATCCACCCCCACATTGGACGGCTTCGGCAATTTCTCCGTCTTCTCCAGCGGAAATCCGGGGGCCATCAGCTCCAGTGTGCCGGGACGCTTGCCCAATCAGCCACCGCATCATATCAACCACTCGCGGCTGCAGTCGCCTGTCTCCCATGGAACTTCGACCCCTGCCAACGGCGCCGAAGCCGTCAACAGCCCCGATCTGGTCTCCCTGCCTAACCAGAACTTCATCTGGCAAGGCTACAATTTCCAGCCTCCCAGTAATTTCCCCACGGAGATGATGACCGCGACAGCCACGCGGACCGGATTGGGTCAATTCGGAATGGGCGCGCCCGACCCCACGTCGCTGGGCGTCGGATTAGACTTGGGCCTCCCGCTTGACGATATTTTCGGCAATACCGACGCATGTCGGCCCGGCGGCTTCAGTAATGAGGAATGGCTTCAGTTCATGAATGCCGGGAATTAAAAAAAATCGAATTCCTGATTCCGAAAAGAAGAAAAGCAAAAGAAGAAGTACTAATCAAATACCCATATGTTTGTATATGCCGTTTTTTGGTCTGGACCCATGAAGATCATAATGTTATGAAGGCATTGCGTGGGGGAGTTCTGTGGGCGGCGTTCGGTTGCTGCTTGGGATTGACATGAGTTCCCTTTCTGTGTTCCTTGGTTCTTTGCACCATGGGATTGGCATCTCTTTTGTGCTCGATACTTTTTTTTTTGTTGACGTTGCTAATTCTTTGAATATGATTGATGATCTATATATCACAGGTTATGTTGTATACATTCTAGACTTACCTATTGGAATATCGTCTTGCCGGTGCAGGACCATCCCTGCCGTATCGTACATACTTTCGAGTATACATATATATATATATATATATATATATATATATATATAATATATTTCTCTCTCCAAAGGGGTATATCCAACTGAAATCTGGGAGCCGGGCTCAACCTCTCCTCCGCCGAGGGGGCTGATACCAGCTCCAAATATTCAATCCGATCTTCGTTCCGGAGGTGACCGGGAACGCGGCATGCCACGTCTCCGGATATCCCGATCCATCCGGTCGCAGGTTCTCCCAGAAGATGGCATTGCCTTTGATGGGCTTGAATGTAACTCCCTGCGAGGCAGCGGCAGCGGAAGCGGCAGCATGGCTTGGCTCGCCATCCTTAGGCTCCCCTCTTGGAGGGGCAGCAGCAGCAACAGCATCCGCAGGGCACTCCACAAACCGACACCATTCGCGGAGGGCCGCGGCACTCCGAGGCATCCTCAGCCGCGGAAAGTTTGTGCCTCCACCCTCGCAGTCATCCCCCAAGTAGACCATAAATGTGCTGAGGCGGTCCCCGCCACGGGCAGCGGATCCGGCCCAGTCATAGTGGTGGACGTAGTGGCCGGAGGTGTTGTAGCGTTGCGCCCACATGCGTTCAATGTAGAGGTGCGGTTTCCAGCCCTGGAATGCGGCGGCGCGGGCCTCGAGGCATCGGACGGTGTTGTCGCGGGGAAGAAGAGCGCGGTCGGAGAGGCGGCGGGTGGCATCGTGAGTTGTGTTTTGGCCGTTATAGATCGTGGAGAGAGTGTAGTTCGATTTACTTTCTAGGTGTCAGCTTTCCGTTGATGGTTTCCTGTGCAAGATCATGGAGAAGGAATTGTGCTTGGTGAATTGGTTGAGATGAGATCGAAGCACTGTGGCCGGGATAGAATGGTTTTTGAGTGGGGAAGTACCTTAGATTGACGATGTGGTCCGTTTCTTCCGCCGACAAGAAATCCTCAATATATATCACCAATGGGTCTTTCTGCAGAAGGTGAACCCGGTAATTGTCGGGGGCACAATTTGGAATGACCCCATCTGGAAGACTCAGGACATCCGGGTTGAGGGTGAGGCCCGAATCGGGCTCGGTCCCGTCGGCATCGAGGTCGAGGTCGAAAAGATTCCCTGCGGAATCGGGAAAGAGTTGGCGGAGGAGCGGCGCGAGAACGAAGAAGTATGCGGGGAGAAGATAGAGCAGCGACGAGAGGAGAGTGGAAAGGGAGAATTTGGGCATATTGATCAAATCCCTCCCCCGGTGGTTTGATTGTCGGATCCCTATTCTTGCGGAGGGCTCGGCAGGAGATGGATAATTGATCTGATAACTCAGTCTGTGCATTAGAGTTATGCAACTACATTAGTAGATATGCAACTTGGTGAGCCTGTCCTTTCATGATTAGTCACGGTATCGGGAATTTGTTCAGACGCCGCACATAAGCCGAGAGACTGTTATCTCCGAGGAAGAACCATTTGGTCCGGTCCACTCCAACGAGCTTTTGCGTTTATCCTACCTCCTGGTGTAGTCAGCACCCACAGGCCATGTTGATCAAGAAGGCTTTCCCATGCACGCGACAATGCTCGCCTGCGGACAAGCGATGGCTCCGCTCATACTCGAGGGGCCTTCTCCACGCGGTCTGGGGTCTCCAAACACCATGGCGTCATGGAGTAATCCGGAGTCAAAGGATCTTCACCGCTGCTTTCGTCATGCTGTCCAGTGAGAAACAAAGACAGAACCTAAAAGGAACCATTAACGATTGCATGCGGAGACTCCGCGTTTTCAGTCTTCCAGAACCAGCGTCAACGCGGAGAAGCGTTCTTGAGCCCGCGTGGGTGGTGCGGGTGAGCGCCGACCCCGCCGTCTAAAGGGACTTCCGGTCAGCTGACCGCTAATCTCCTTAAGGTTAGTAGGATTAGCACTATCGCTCCTTCGCATTGAATTGTGTTTGACTTATGTAAATCGACTTGCTCATGGCTGAATTAAGCCTCGTGTGCGTTGCCCGTCTCGGTTAGCCCACATCCACCGGCCTTTCCTTCGTCTTCGGCGACCTTCTGCTCCTATCCGAAGCTCTACGTAGCACTATACACTGCATTTTTCTCGGGCAGATCTGGCAGGTCTGAAGACAACACATCTCGTACACAATACCTACATTATCTGCGCCACTGCATCTCCATGTCAACCGACTTTTAGCTTTTGACCTTCCGATATACTCGTTAACTGGTGTCCGATCCACGGCGAACTAAAGCTTGATCGGCACCAAAGTTATGCACGTTCCGGCTTAGTCGGCTCTCTTCCGAGGAAGGACTCCATCAAGGAATGGGGTTAAGGCTTCATCCCGTCATCATGACTGGCCTAAACATGATTACGAAGAACATTGGGAGGGGAAGGGTGTCAGAAACCGGCTAAGTCCTCTCTTGAACTCGACAGGGGCATCGAAAAGTCGCTTAACCCTGATTGTGGACCTCCCTGTGTTGGGCCAATTCTCAAACTCCTACGCTCTGATTCGCCGAAGAGCCGACATGAGGCGAAGCCGAAGGCATCGATGCTGGGCCGTTCCAGACAACAACGAGATCGGCACTCCGAGTTCGCGAGTCTGGTAGAGATAAGGCTCTTAAGACCGAGTTTAAAGTTCGTCTGGGAATGGGTTGGTCCACCGGCAAAGTCTTCACCGTGGCCAAGTCGCCACAGGCTCGCTACCTTGGAACGTGCAGAGCCCAGTCAGCAATCAGTCATTTCACCTGAGGGTTATTTGCTTTCGCAGGCGCCGGAACAGTCGGGTAAATGTCCAGTCTAAAGGGGGCAACCAGGATTATATACCTTCTCCTCGTGCAGGGAAATTTTCTAGCCTTCGCCCCCACACCCTAAATCTGCGGCTGAATGTTTCTTTCGCAAGAACTTCTCCGCGCCGGCTAAGCGAGACATAGTCAGTCTGGGGAAAACTCTCCCCCGACCCAGTTTCCCACATCACGAGGCGACCTTTGTGGGAATCAAGGCAATAGTTTGCATGATAAGGACCAATTAGCTGCTTGCTTGACGTATCAAATGCGTGCTATTCACAAGAACCCCCATGTTGAGTCTCCCCAGATGGGGTTTCGGTCAGACGTGGATTGTGGAGAGCGTTCGACGAAGAGGAGAATCCACACGGTTCAGCGTTGATGCGTCGCTCACTGTAGATAATTACTTTAGGGGCCCGGCCCGTCTCGACCAGTTTTTAAATCTTCCTCAACTTCCGCCTTCAGAACTTTCTTTCCCCCATATCTACTTCCATCATCTTCCCCTTCCTTGTCTCTGTTGGCAGGAAGCCTGCTTTTTTTTTCTTTCTTCCTTTCTCTTGGTCTTTTCACCTTCAAGAGATAATTGGGACTTGTTCATAGGTCTTCACATCTCTGTTCTTCTTTCTCCCCTCCTCTCCCCTCCCTTCCTCCTTCTCTCGCCCCCTCATAGCAATGGGTGGCATTCTCCACCTGGTCGAGGATCGGCCTACGCCGAAAGCTGTTTACAACTGGCGAGTGTATGCATTGGCCGCCATTGCATCATGCGGTTCTCAAATGATCGGGTACACCAGTGGTTTCATCGGCACGACCATCACATTGGACTCTTTCATGACCGAGTTTGGCCTGGACAAGAAGACTAGCTCCGAGAGAGACTTGATCAGCGAAAACATTGTCTCTCTTTTCATTGCTGGTGCTTTCTTCGGAGCTTTGCTCACCTATGGTATTTCGTACTATGGGGGACGCAAATGGAGTTTGACCATCGCTTCGGCTGTCTTCGTTCTCGGAGCGGGTTTGCAGTTGGGAGCCAACAGTTCGACCGGTCTCGGCATACTTTATGCGGGCCGTGTGTTGGCCGGTCTCGGCACCGGAGTTGCCTCCAATATTGTCCCGATGTACCTGTCCGAGCTAGCCCCTCCCGCCATTCGTGGTCGTCTTGTTGGTTTGTATGAACTTGGCTGGCAAGTTGGTGGCATGGTCGGTTTCTGGATCAACGTAAGTTATTCGCCCGCGCAATACGGCAATACGGTCTTGATGCTACCCAGCACCTTTCCCTATTCCTCCAGGAACCAGGGCCTCTAAGCTAACCTTCCCTGCTTCTAGTATGGTGTTGAGCAAACCATTCCTGCCAGCCACAAGCAATGGGTCATTCCGTTCGCTATTCAGATTATTCCATCAGGAATGCTTTTCCTCGGCTCTCTGTGGATGAAGGAATCTCCCCGTTGGCTGTTTACCAAGGGCCGCCGCGAGCAGGCCATTGCGAACCTGTGCTGGGTCCGTCAGTTGGAGCCCACTGATATCTATATCACCGAGGAAATCGCTGCTATGGATCAGAGTCTCGAGGAGCAAAAGGCCACCATCGGTGTCGGTTTCTGGAAGCCCTTCCAGGCTCTCGGTCAAGCCAGGAACCTGCAGTATCGCCTGTTCCTGGGATGCATGCTCTTCTTCTGGCAGAACGGCTCTGGAATCAACGCAATCAATTACTATAGCCCGACCATTTTCGAAAGCATTGGTGTTCAGGGCAACACGAAGGGAATCTTGAACGGTGTCTTTGGTGTCGTCAAGGCTGTCATCACCATCGTCTGGCTGCTTTTCCTGGTTGACCAGCTCGGTCGTCGCAAGCTGCTGCTTATCGGTGCGGTTTGTGGCTCAGTCTGCATGTGGATTATTGGCGCGTACATCTGTGTGGTGGAGCCTACCAAGCATCCCCAAGACCACCTCAACAGCGGTGGTATCGCGGCTATCTTCTTTTTCTACCTCTGGACAGCGGTCTATACACCTACTTGGAACGGTACTCCGTGGGTCATCAACGCGGTATGTTCTTCTGTGTTTTACTGTCATATTCTGCACAATCCACTGACTGGTCTGGACAGGAGTTCTTCCACCCCAACATCCGTTCCGTGGCGCAGGCCGCCACCACCGCCAGTAACTGGCTTTTCAACTTCCTGGTCTCCCGGTTCACGGAGCAGATGTTCGAGAAGATGGGATACGGCGTGTACTTCTTTTTTGCCTCCCTGTCGTTCCTGGCATTCTTCTTCGCTTTCTTCCTCATCCCGGAGACCAGTGGTATCCCGCTGGAGGTGACCGATCAGCTGTTCAAGATCAAGCCGATCTGGCGGGCCCACTCCATCCTCAAGGAGCAGCTCAAGGAAGAGGAGGAGCGCTTCCGTGCGGAGATCAAGGATGGCATGTTCGACAAGCCCGAGCCCCAGGAGCACCTGGAGAACACGAAAGCCGCATGATGGAGTTTGTCGATTAGCCCGTTTTGCTTTGATTTCGGATTTTACACCTAGACGGATTGTATATATGTGAACGATAGATCATAGACCTGGATATATATTATTTTTTCTCTTTTTGGACATCTGCATTTGATGGTAGTGAAGTGGTTGAGTTGAATCAATAAAATAACCAGTTAAATAATTGACATCAAAAATGACTTAGCATCTCTTATCTCGATGCACTTGAGTTGTTTTCTTTTCACTCCTTCGAACCTGTCCGAAATAACTAAACTTTGTAATACATGATGGCGAAATGTGGATGCCTAAAATTCTCCGCTGACTATGCTGCAGGAGGGCCCTGCATAATTTTCCCCAAAAGACGGCCCCAGATGGATTGACCATCCATTCCCCTCAAAGACAAAGAGAAGGGGGAGGGCACCGCCACCCCGGGGTAAAAAAGCCAAGCCAAGTGTGCAGTATGTACAGTACAGTATCGACACTACAGCAATCCCTCGCTCCGTGACGCGATCGGGTTTGGAGGGGTTTTCTTCAGCGGTCAAACTGCAGGTGACTCGCATAATTCTTGATTTCCTTGGTGGTGTCACCTTCCAAGACGGGGGGGAAGCGACTTGGAGCCTTGGGAAGAGACATTTCCAACCTTGAAGCGTTCGTTAGACTTCTAGGTACTACAGGGGGAAAAGCTTTTTTTTTCCCGTTGTTTCCGCGGGTAAGTCAGGTCCCATGCTTCGACCTTCGATATACATTTACAGCAACTGTGCGAGGATGGTAGTTTATGAATGAAAGTTATGAATCTCGTGGATGTATTCAGGGCTTTGGGGGAGGTCAGTTGAATAGCTGGATGGACTATTTTAGTAAGATTCACGGCTCGGAGTGAATGAACTTCCGACTCAATAATCAGAATACGGAGGGACTGAGAGGGGTAATCCGACCCAGTTAGTAATTTAGTATCCACCAGCTGAGTCGAGTCTTTTCTGTACTGCCATTTGTGGTAGAAGTAGGTATAATAGGTAGTCAGTCCACCTGTGTCCCATGAGTGGTACAGTACATACAGTTTGTTGTATGTACAGGGGGGACACTTGACTCTGAAAGAAATGGGTGGTGGGTGCATTTGCATGCAAATGCCGCTCTCCTGGGCTCCCCCTCCCTCCTCCCCGGAGAAGCCCGGGACCATCTGACTAATGACCAAAGAAAACACAAAAAAAAAAAAAAAAAAAAAAAAAAAAAACGACACCGAAAAGAAAAACAAGGTTCCAAGAAACCCAAGAGTCCAAGAAGTCCAAGACCTGCACCCTCTCTCCTCGGGGTCCTCGGGGCGGGAAAAGAAGCGCCAAGAGAGGTAGGGGGAGAGAGGAATTACTTGGTCTGTTTTGGTATTTTGGCCACCCGGTCATTCTTGACTTCGTGGTGGACGGTTCGATAGCGAAAACAAGGATCAGACTTTCCCATAAGATGAATCCAGCTATATTAGAGCTAAGTACCCCATATTTTACAGTACAAAGAAAGTACCTAGTGAGGTGTTGGTTGGAATCGTAATAAGAATCCATTGGCTGGTGCTTCCTTCCCTCACGGCTCCAAATGTCAGACACGAGAATAGGCTCCACAGGTCTTTGCGGAAAAAGGAAAGGCATCGATTCCTGCAGCTACTCGACCTTCCAGAGTTCCAGTCGCCATTTCTACGAGGTGATAATAAGCAGGCAGAGAAGGAACGGGGGGAGAGAGGGAGGGGGGAAGCGCAGGACGGAGGCCAAGAAGGGTAACTTGGCCAACTTGGCAAGTTTTCTTATGCGGGGGGGGAAAGGGACTACCAGGGCTAGTCTGTCCGTCGGATTGTCAGACAACATTATTATTATCATGGCAGCTAAGCAGATAAGTCACGGTCCCTAGATCATAGTAGGACGGACTAAGTCTAGTCAGTCAGCCAGTTGGTCCCATGTGTCAATACGGGGGCGAGGGAGAACGGTTATTCGAGGCTTCGTTCAAGCCCACTAGGACTAGTTTCGAATCCCTTAAGCTCTAACCATTCCGGACGGCACTAAGTTAGTTTTAGTTGGGAAACTAATTTTCGCGGTGGAAGGTGGGTTTTGTGTCCGTGGGGGGGGGAAACGAAGGCAGTTAAAGATTGACAGTAAGATTGAGAATGTTCTCAGCATGAATCAGAGGTATGATATCAGCCTAGACATAAACAGATGTCCTGGCAGTGGTGTAAACTTTCTGTCACTACTAGGTAGTAAGTTAGTTGGTTACCTGGAGTGTTAAAAGAAAAAAAGAGTCAGAAAAAGAAGAAGGGCCAGACGATGCCATGCCACGCCACGCAGCCCCGCACGGTGTGTCTTGGCCCGGACAGTGCCCAGTCCTGGCTTGGGCTTCTTGTCTCTTTTTCTCCCCTCCGCCCGGTTGAGTCTTCGCCTTTTCTAGGCAAGGCTCGTCTCTCGCTCTCTCTCTCTCTGCCTCCTCGGCTCGGCCCCAAGACTTTCCTCCCCTGATTCTCTCTTCTGAAGGCCCCCTCCCCCCTCCTCCTCCTCCTCCCTCCCTCCCTCCCTCCCCTTTCCATCTCTTTTCTTGTTCTGACTCTTACAAACATTATCTTCCGTCTCTTCCTCCATCATTCTTGTTTGATGCCCCCCTGGTGGTCTCCATCTATACAGTCCACCTACCTATACTTCTCTTTATATTCCAAATTACAATTACTATATTGAATCAGTATAAATTACTGGGCGCTTTCCCCACCTTTTCGGTTGCTTGACTTGACTAGGCTGCGGTATCGGTGCGCGTGTCTGACTCCCTCTTTGTTGTTCAACGAACGCTCTCACCGCGTCTCGAATCTACCGACCGTCTTAGCCTACTTCTGCCCTTTTCTACTTCCCCGTGGGATATACAACTCTCATCGGTTCATTAACCACCGGCTCTTGTCTCTGTTTGACGTATTTGTTGATTATATCCCCGTTGGGGTATTGTGTTGAGTCGCTTGTCTACTTCCGCTGGCATCCCAAGACAGGGACAAGAAACAGAATTTTCTTGGCAATGTCGGAACCTCAAGACACCACCACCACCACGGCCCCTTCGACGGCGGCTCCCCCCGTGCCTGCACCTGCCGCCCAGGAGCCTGCTGCTCCCCCTCAACAACAATCTCCTCAGGTCTCGTCGGCTACCGCTGCGTCGGCTGCTGCGACTGCTGCTGCTGCGACTGCTGCCGTTGCTAGCCCTCCCATTAACGGCACCACCACTCGCCCGGCCGAGGAACTGTCCTGCCTGTGGCAGAACTGCTCTGAAAAGTGCCCGTCTCCCGAAGCTCTCTACGTAAGTTGTCTCGGTCTTTTTTCTTCTTCCTATCTCTTTGCTAGTTCATGCTCTTCTCTTCTGGTTCTGGCTCTGAGGCACCTTCGAGTAACCGGCCACGTGTCGGCTCGACCGGTCATAATCATGGGGAAACGATCCGCCGCTGACCGCTCTGGTGCTATAGGAACATGTGTGCGAGCGTCATGTCGGTCGCAAGAGTACAAATAACCTCAACCTGACCTGCCAATGGGGTAGCTGTCGGACGACGACTGTCAAGCGCGATCACATCACCTCTCACATCCGTGTCCATGTGCCGCTCAAACCACACAAGTGTGATTTCTGTGGCAAAGCTTTCAAGCGTCCCCAGGATTTGAAGAAGCACGTCAAGACCCATGCTGATGATTCCGTTCTGGTTCGCTCCCCCGAGCCTGGCTCTCGGAATCCGGACATGATATTTGCAAGTGGCGCTAAAGGTATGCGACCGCATATTTACCCTTCGGGCGTTGACCGACTGACGCATGCTGTAGGGTACGCCGCGGCTGCTCATTACTTCGAACCCACAATCAACCCAGTCCCTAGCCAGGGTTACGCCCATGGTGCTCCTCAATACTACCAGTCTCACCCACCGCCTCAACCTTCCAACCCATCCTACGGCAATGTTTACTACGCCCTGAACCACGGCCCGGAAGCCGGACACACCTCGTACGAGTCGAAGAAGCGTGGCTACGATGCTCTGAACGAGTTCTTCGGTGACTTGAAGCGCCGCCAGTTTGACCCGAACTCGTATGCGGCTGTGGGTCAGCGGTTGATGGGGCTACAGAGTCTGTCGCTGCCCGTTCTGAGCAGCGGACCTCTGCCCGAATACCAAGCGATGCCTGCCCCCGTGGCTGTAGGTGGCGGTGGATATAGCCCTGGAGGCCATCCCTCCGCTCCGTCGTATCACCTGCCCCCGATGAGCAACGTGCGCACCAAGAATGATCTTATAAATATCGATCAATTCTTGCAGCAAATGCAGGACACGATCTACGAGAACGACGACAACGTTGCCGCAGCGGGAGTTGCCCAACCCGGTGCTCACTACGTCCACGGAGGTCTGAGCTACCGCACCACTCACTCGCCGCCAACACAGTTGCCCCCTAGCCATGCGACAGCTACGACAGCGGCTAGCGCCATGATGCCCAACCCAGCCACCCACTCTCCCTCCACCGGCACTCCCGCCCTCACGCCTCCTTCCAGTGCACAGTCCTACACCTCCGGTCGCTCCCCGATCTCTCTCCCGTCCGCCACTCGTGTGTCGCCACCTCACCAAGAAGGCGGCCACATGTATCCTCGCCTACCTTCGGCTACCATGTCTGAGAGCATGACAGCAGGCTATCCGACCACGTCGGGTGCGGCACCGCCTTCCACATTGGGGGGTATCTTCGATCATGACGACCGGCGTCGATATACCGGTGGCACGCTGCAGCGCGCGCGCCCAGAGCCCCGCTCCATGCCTGATGCCATGGACTTGTCGCAAGACAATGAGAAGGCAGACAGCGAGCGCACCCCTCTCGCTAAGGGGCGAGCATCCTCACTGTCACCCAAGAGTTTCTCGGCTAGCCTAATCGACCCTGCGCTGTCAGGAGCGGCTGCTGAAGCCGAAGCGACGCTCCGGACCGCCCAGGCGGCGACCGAGGTGGCGGAGCGGGCTGATGTGCAGTGGGTGGAGAAGGTCCGGCTGATCGAGTACTTGCGTAACTACATTGCTTCCCGGCTGGAACGGGGCGAATACGAGAACGAGTCTCAGCGAATCCGCGACGAACGGAGCCCGGAGTCAGCCTCGGGGAGCCAAATGGAAGGGGTGGAGAGTACGCCAACCGAAGCGGCACCAGCCAAGCCGGGAGTGAGGTCGGAGGCAGGGGATGCAGTGATGTACCCGACGTTACGAATGGACGAAGATGGCGATTCCAAGATGCCCTGAGGGCGGTGGCTGGGATTGGCTGAGGTGATCTTCTGATGTTCCTCCGGGCCTCTCTTGACCGGCGGTTCATATTCGTGATTTTTTTTTTCTATAGGGTACCTTGGGTACTTCTCCCCACTTTCCTCTTTCTGTTAATTATTTACGGCTATGCTACGAACGACTTGTTCTGGGCGATTGCGGGTTAGGTTTGATTCTGCTTGTTTGCTATTCCCAATGCGTCGGAGAACCGGATTGGCCTCGGTAGGCAGGCGGTCCTGGTGAGTTGAAGTATTCTTTGTGTATATGATGAACCTGTATTTACTTGGGAGAAATCCATGCACTCGAACTCGGTCATTGATCAGTAATGCGATCGAAACCATGTTGTTTTTGTTGTTGACTTCCGCAGTGGTTGTCCTGTTATTGTGTAGCGTCGTCTTTTCCCTCTTGATCCGGAGGGAGGGGAAGGAAGAGTGGGAAGGGGAATCCAGGGCGAGAGATTGCAACGAAGATGTTACCTGTCGGAGGAGCCTGAAGAGGGATCCGCATTCCACACGAGCTGCACGCGGACACCATGACGCAACCAGTCTGAAGGGTAAACTACTGGCCTTTGCCTAATCCGGGGATGGTCGAGACCAGCGGGTAGCAGCAAGTTAAGTTGTGTGTACGTAGAAGCTGAGGAGGAGATGATGATGATGATGATGATGTTATTGTTGATGATGACGATGCTGGTGGATGGTCCAACCCTCCAACCCGCCCGCGCATCCGATCAACTCCGCCTCGCTGACTCTGGTCCGATTCCTCGTACGGAGTAGACTTTGGGGAAAGGAAGCTTATAGAACTTGGGTGGGTTTCATCATAGATAACCACAGAGCACCCTGCCTGGTTGACGGACTGCTCTTTTCAAGAATTGCAAGAATTGAGAGGGGGTTCAAGGACAGAAACTGCATCCGGCAAAGGGTCAACAGCGGGCCATCTTGATTAAACATGGTCTGTTTGTGATGTTGCTTTGCTTGCTTGTCTGCTTGCTTGTTGGGATCCACTGTCTGTTTACGGCGTCGTATTTGGATGTAGTAGAATTGTTTACGGAGTAGACCGTATATAATAGGATCCGGGGAAGGAACCAAGGGGGGGGGAAAGTTAAGAAGAGAAAGGAAGGAAGAAAGGAAGGAAGGAAGAGAGCGAAGAGTGAGAAAGAAAGAAAGAAAGAAAGAAAGAAAAGGTGAAAGGGAGGAAGATTGATTGACTATTTACTTATCTTCGCATTGCAAGTACAATTGCAATTGTGTTGGTGGAAGAACAAGCAATCCCGAGGATTTTTCCTAGTGATTGCAACTAAACTACTCAATCTGGCAGTGACGGCACCCTTCAAGGTTCAATCAAGTTCATTCCCCTTCATTCCCTTCAGTCGCAGTCCCACATGACTGACTGATTGATTGACTGCACTGTTTGATTGATGATTGATTGATTGATGGATTTGACTGACGGGCTTAGAATTGGATTGACTCGGAAGCGTTTCTTTCCCATCTCATCCATCCTATTCCCTTGTGGCTGATTCATTCGCAGCGTCATCATCATCATCACCATCATCACTACTACTTTCTACTGCTGGCTGCTGCTTCTACTACTTCTTCACCTCACCACTTACTTCCACATACAATCTGCTTGTCTCGATCCTTTCCTCCCTTCTTTCCTTTTGTTCCTCTCTCCCTCCTCCTTCTTCTCCTCCTCCCTTTCTTTGATTCATCATCTCTTCCTTTCTTCTCCCTCTCCCACCACCACCCCAGCCCTATTGAACGTGCTTGGCGCAAACCCGACCTCCCCTCCTCTTCCCTCCCACTTCCACTCCCCCCACGGTGGCTGGCCACTCTCTCTCGCAGCCCCCCTCCAGTCCCGTCTCACTCACTCGCTACTCTTCCCTTCTCTCTCACTAGTCACGACTCACGGTCAAATCGCGTCTCGTTCGTGCGCGGTGGCAAACCGTACCCTTGGGTCAACAACCCTGGACCTGCCATCCCGGTTTCCATTCGTCCTACTCCGTACTGTTCTCATTTTCGGTGGTTCGTCACGGGTGTTCTCACTCTTCAACGTCTGCGATTTTCTCTTCCCTAATCTCGTATTGTTGCCCCGGCCACTTGCGACCCTTCTCCACCACGACCACAACTGATTACACTACCACCGACGATAACATCAACTCATCTCGCTCCGCAACGCTTCCCACGATAACTTCTCCGAGCCCCTCCATCAGCAACAACAACAACCACCACCGCAACCGATCGCCTGCCTGCGCCGCTTTTCATCGCTCCGTCTGTTTTTGCACCATGCCTCTATCGAACCGCCGCCGCGCGCGGCGCAAGGAGATTCAGTTACAAGAGACATCCGACGCAGAGGCCCCGGATTCATCGCCGACGCGACCGTCAAATAAGAAGCGCAAGGTGAGTGCTCCCTGAACAACGATCAACGTCTTGACAAGAACCGTCGATTAACTGTCTACTGTTGCGGTCAGGTCGAACATTCTCGAGTATCCCCACAAACGCGCCCGATCAAGCCCGAGTCCGCCGACGAAGCCGACGATGACCAGGACCTGTCGGAGAATCAAGACCTCGTTGACCTGGTAATCTCATATCTCGAGGCTGCACGCGAAGAGGTTCGAGTTCATCGCGACTATTCCAATACGAAGACGGAGGCAGAGCAGAGCATTCGCGCCTACGCCAAAATTGCCGGTCGCAATTGGACTTACTATGTAAAGACCCTCCATGTCAACATCGGTCGCGAACCCGACCGCGAGCAGAAGCTAGATGAGCAGTCGAGTCCGGTCACGATTGCCGCGCGCGCTCTTCCGGAGGTGAATGTCGATCTGGGCCCCAGCAAGTTCGTCTCGCGCTTGCACGCGGAGATTTTCTACGATGGTGAGGACACGGGCTCATGGCACATCCGTGTCAACGGTCGCAACGGGGTGCGCCTCAACAGCGTCATCCTCAAGCGCGGAACCGACGCCGTTCTCTCTTGCGGCGATATCATCGAGATTGCCAACACCCAGATGATGTTCGTCACCCCGGGCGACAAGGCGACCATCCACCCCAGCTTCGTTGATCGAGCGCAGCGACTGGCGAACGGCGAGGAAGAGCCTGCCACCTGGGATGCCAGTCAACACGCCCATCCTCATGCTTCTCACTCATCGACCAACACCGCTGGGACTACCGCGCCCGCTCCGCCATCATTGGCACCCGCACCGCACTTCCTCAAGCGCCAAGTGACCCCTCCTCCACGGTCGCCCGACACAGTGGGGGCCCGTACTGCCAAGCAGTCCCCTTTGTATAACCGCGGTATGATGATGGAGAGCACGGAAGAGATTGATTATAGCAAAGACTCGGCCAAGGACCTCAAGCCGCCGTACAGCTACGCGAATCTGATCGCCCAGGCCATCTTCTCCAGTGAGGAGGAGAAGCTTACCCTTAACAATATTTACAACTGGATCATGGACAAGTACGCTTTTTATCGGCATTCTCAGAGCGGTTGGCAGGTGAGCGTTCACTTCAGAATTGGAGGTATTTACAGTGCTAACCGGTTCCAGAACTCGATCCGTCATAATTTGTCGCTGAACAAGGCGTTCCAGAAGGTGCCGCGACGCACAGACGAGCCGGGCAAGGGAATGAAGTGGCAGATTGCACCCGAGCACCGCGAGGAGTATTGGAAGAAGCAGCTGCGGAAGGGCACGCAATCGTCGGCTCCATCATCACCTGCAACCAAAGTACCCGATCGCCGGGGCTCCACAAACGGCATGGAGGCCGTATTTAACAGCAAAAAGTCCCCACCAGTATCGTCCCCCGGTTTCAGTTCATTCCCAGTGGCTCCAGTCGAGGCGTACACTCCCGAACGAGGATCTCGTGCCAGCCGCAATGGAGCAGCGGAGCACAATTTACGCCCACCCAACACACGTGACTATGAAGAGCCTTCGCCGCTCCCAACCCGGTCAGCGACGAAGAACGCGGGTAGCAATGGGACCAGTCTCAGTCGAACATATGGGTTGTCGGACGCGGCCGTGGGATCACCTCCAGTACTGTCATCGTCGTACTATGATGACGGTCCATCGTCAATGATTACACCCGCCCCACAGCGGCAACAGCCGCGCCTGCCCCCTCCGAGCACGGCGCAAATACCATCCAAATTCATGCCAATGAGCTCACCGGCGCAGTTCTGGAAATTCGCGGATATTGGCAGCACGCCGGCGCGACCGGTACCTGACATGAGTCCGCTCAAGGGAGACCCCGGGGATGTCCTAGGCAGTATCCCGAGCAGCAGTCCGCCACCCCCCAACCTCGCAAGTCCTAGTAAACCAGGAACAACAGGTATGGCTACCGGTCGTGTGTTGCCGCCACCACGGCGAGAGCCTGAGCCACAGGGTGGTCGTCGTCCTGCCCCTGGAGCGGGAGAAGAGGAGGAGGACGAGAGCGGGTTTGATTTGGCGAGGTAGGCAATTATTTTTAACGTCATAGGTTCAATGGCAGAAACTAACCGCAGCTTGCAGAGGCTTCCAAACGATCGGATCATATCATCGCCAGCTGAGTAATGCGGCGCGTACAAGTGCAGCGACGTCGTGAGGAGGAATGGCTTGTTTGCTTTGCTTTTGTTATTCATTTGCCAGAAAGGCATCCACAACGAAGATCGGGGGGGATTATGGGACCATGGCTGTATGTATTGATGTAATTGTAGATATTGCTAATGATTTGATGTCGTCCTTCTTGTGTCTCGTTAGCCACTAAGGTTGTATACTGTAGATGTATATATACTCCAATTGCTTTTGATGCTCATTTATATCTGCTCATACCTATTTACATGTCAACCCTGTCCATCACAAATATGCATGCATGAATGCATACATACATACATACCCCTAGAAGCTACTGTACACATCAACAAGCCCCCGAGAACCACCCCGCCCTCGAATCTAAACCTCCGGCCAAAACTGCCCCTCCAGCCAAACCACCTGCCTCCACCACCGCGCACACCGCTCGACCACCTCCTCCCACGCCTTCTCCGGGCCCGCCGAACTCCGCTGCACCTCGCGCTCCGCCACTTTATCAACCAAGCACGTAATCCCCTCCACGAACTCCTCGAACTCGGCACACGTCCAATTGGGAATCAACTTCTCGCGCAACGCACCCCCATCCGCATCCTCCCCCCCGTTCTTTGCCCGTGGCATCGCCGCCCGCACATTCCGCCACACGGTCAGATAACACACCTCCGTCGCCCAGAGCACGAACAACCCCTCCAGCAAGGACGTCCCCGCCGATCCCGCCGAGATAAAGAGATCCGTGTACGCGGTTGTTATGGGCGAGGCGGTGAAGGCGCTGGCGGCTGGTGCTGGTGCTGGTGCTGGTGCTGGTGCTTCCCCCGGTTCGGGTTGGGGGACCTGGAACGGCGTGTTCAGATCGAGGGCGTATTCGTCGGCGACGGCGACGAAGAAGTCGAGTTCGCGGACAATGTTGGTCAGGGCTGCCGTGAGGGTGTGCAGGGTTTGGGTTTCGAGGGTTTGGGTTTCGATTTGGTCGGTGTTGTTGGGGTTGGTTTGTGTTGCGTGAGGCACAGGCACAGGCACAGGCACAGGCACAGGCACAGGCACAGGCACAGGCACAGGGAGCTGGAGCTTGGCGAGCAGCGCCCCGATGAAGCGGATGTAGGCGTGGATGTAGAGGCGGTCTTGGGCCAGCCAGGCCGCCAGGCGGGGTTTGGGGAGCGTGCCGGCGGCGGCGGCGGAGAGGAATGGGTGGGCGGTGGGGGAGGTGGCGGTTGTGAAACTGGTGGTGGTGAGGGGCGGGAGGGGGAGGGTGAGGAGGGTGGCTGTTAGGGTCATTTTGTTATGACTTTGGAGGTTTTGGGGGAGGGGGCGGGGGAGGGGTTGTGTAGTGGTGGTGGTTGTTGTGATGAAGGATGGTGTTCGTGGTTTATCAGGTGGGATCATCCGGATGCGTGGAGGGAAATATGATATAGTGTAAGTTAAGGTTCGGTTAGGGTTGGGAAAGCATACGGACTGCCGGCTGTAACGCTTAGGCTACGACTGAATCCGGGTCCTGGCAGATATCTGTGTCCTACCGTGTGACAAGCAATGCTGCATGTTTCATTGTCACGAGTCTTCTGTCTCACTAAAAATGAACTAGTCCGAGTTAAAATACATGTCAGGTCGGGGCCGTCGATCTTCTGAGATCTCACATCTGTCAGAAGGGCTTAGACTCAATTGCCAGCCTTGTATCCCAGGATACTAGCCACCAACGCCTCCAGCGCATAATGCGCATCGTTACCCGCATTGTGAAGATGCCACGGCTCCAAGCCCAGCTCTGTCATCACCGTCCCCAAGGATCGGGGTTGCATCGGCTGCTGCTGCTGCTGCGGATCGGCATGCATAGCGCAATCAAGTCCGGCAGTATCCAAGCGGTCATTCACCATCTCCAGTGTCACCCCGATTTTACGGAGGTGTTCTAAATCAGCGGCGAGACTGTGGCCAACAAGCACCACATGACGATCCTCCGATTCATCCTCTTTCTTCTCGGCGACAGCCACCTGCTGGAACGCCTCCTGCACGACCCCCTTCAGGTTTTCCAGCCCCACGAACTCACTGGTCCCGAACCGAAAGTCCCCCGGGCAGCCCCTCACGAACTCGTTGTTGATAAGATGACTGTACTCGCGCACGCGCAAGTGACGGGACCGGATGGCCCTGCGCCAAATGACCCCATCCATCGAAGAGGGCCGCACTCCGTGCAGCTTGCGCATATCCAGCACCGAGAGGCCAACCTCCGTGATCTGGGAACTGCAGCGCTCGTTCCATTCCACATCCACACTGACGAAGATAGGATCCTTCCAGAACGCGAATGGGGCCACGGCGTCCATGTTGAATGGGGCGTATTTCAGGAATTCGTCGATGGTGCCCGCGGGACGCATCCCCAGGTACTGTTGCGCGCGGAGCAGCGACTCCTTGTGCCGGTGCTCGAGCTCCATGCGTTGCTGCTGCTTCTGGGCCGCGTTGGTCTTTCTCTTGCTCTTCATGGCGTCGCAGGCGGCTTCCAGCATCGCCTCGTAGGCAACGGCTAGCTCCCTGTGCTCGTCGCCCAGGTCTCTCCAGGGGTCGAGGTAGCGCTCGGAGGGGGGTGGCACACGGGCTTGCAGACGGTCCTTGGCCTCCCGGTTGGTGCTGGTTCCCAGGAACTTCGGCTGCGGGTATGCATCATTGTCGAAGGAGAGGACTAGGCCCATGTCGCGCTCCGCCGGGAGTTGGAGGGTGCACTTGAAGGTGCGGTTAATCTCGCCGAGGAGGCGGCGGGCGTGCCTGGCTGGGGTGAGTAGAATGCATCGACAGCCCAGGCTGGAGGGCGTATAGTGGTAGTAACTGACAAGCATAAGACATTAGTGATAACGACAATGCTTTGTTGGGAGAGGAATGAGCATACATGTCCCAAGATCGGGCCCAGAATTGGTTCTTGTCGAAGAACCGGCTGGCTATCTGCTGGGCCAGGCTGTCGTCTTTGATGAGCTTGTATGGGTACCGTGAGAGGGCGATAATGGGAGTGAAAGTCTTGTCGCTGGGGTCTTCATGTAAGGACTCATCGGTCGCCGTGCTTTCTTCAGAATCCAATTGTTCGGACTTAAGCACTGCGCGCTTGGCTCGCGCTGATCTTATGCTGACATGCTGCAGTTCGCCAAGCACAAGTTCCTCGAGTTCCGGTCCTTCGAGGTCGCTCTCAGTGGGTAGGTGTTTCTGGGAACTGACCTCCTGGGTTTCAACACCCTCAGAACGATCGTCCTTATGCTCATCATCATGTTTGAGATTCCCGAGCTGGATACTCTCTGGCTTGGTGTTCTCTGGTTCTGTTCCTTCGAGCTTGGCCTCCTTAGACTGGGCTTCCTCGGTTTGGTATTCCTCAGTCTTGGTATTCTCTACCTTTGTTCTTTCGGAGTGTCCTTTGAAGGTGGGCTCTTCGGGCACTCTTTCTTCTGATATACGAGGGGTAAGAATTGTTAGTCCATAATATCTCTTACTATGCGAAATAGAGTGATCAATGGTTCAGGCCAATGGTGTTCACGCGCATCCCCAGTTGGATTCCCAAACCAGTCAACTTACGGTTAAGATGAGTGTCCATCTTCAACAGCTCGTCCTCCCCAGCAAACAGGTAGTTGAGTCGCTGGACTGGTGTCATTTTAGTGGCGGTTGTTGACCTTTGACAACGTGATTGAGTAGCGGGGAGAATTGATGGCAACGCAGATGAGAATAAAGAGATGGTGGGAAGAAGAAAAGGGAAGAGAAGATGAGCAGGAGGGGCAAAACACGTCGTTTGTCTAAGGAACAAACGGCGGGGCTGTAGTTGTGCAACATCGTAGCAAGGAGGTACAAGTATCGATCAATTCACTGAAGGGACATACTAGGTAGTAGCCTTCACTTTATTTTTTACATTTTTCCGGTTCTGTTCATGTGTGCTGAATTCACTATATTGAGTGTAACAAATAATAATTCTAAGCAAGTTCCTCACCACACCAGTGAAGCAAGTATTGCGATCTGTGTGAAAATTGTTGGTGGTGTAGGGAATGTTCACACTTGGGTTTGTGTCCGTCAAGGCATACAGCATATGTACTGGGGGGTGGTATCGATGCTTGACCAGTAAGTCAACATCACATGTCTTTACCACCACCATACTCTACCCAAGTACATACTGGGAAAGTGTTTAGTCAGTCCAGGTGGATTTCCATGATGAATCATTCTGCATCCACACACTATCCAACAACATTGCAGAATATCAACATCTCTCGGTCTCCACAGCTGACAGCTGTCGGATCAATCTTTCTCCCCTCTCCATGCTGAGTCATTTATCTATTCAGCCAATCATTGTTTATCTCCTTCCACTTCCACTTCGGCTTCACTCAACAATAACAAGACAATTGCACAGCTCAACCGATCGATTATTCGCCATTCTTTCTTCAATTTGCAACTGGTAGCTTGTGCAGACTCTTCTGTCTGGCAAGCTCTCCCCATCCATGTAAAAGTGCGGACCAGTCCCTCTTCATGGCCGCACCCTCGCCCAGGGTGCCGTCCGTCCACCACCTGTGACCATCTGTCCGCCCGTTCCTTCGACGCGCCTTCTTTTGCCCCCTCCCTCTCGCCTTCCCACTCCTACACTCTCTCCGTTTACTTGTTGGATGGTATGGCGGACTACCACGACCCTGGGGGCCTCATTCTGGATGGGCTTTTTGACCCCGACGCCCAAGCCACTGTCACTGACTACATTGACTACACCGAATACCTGCCCGCCGACCTCCTCCGTTCCCTCACTCTCATCCGCGGCCTCGATGAGCGCTACCTGGACGCTACCCAGGGCGTCCACGAGTTAACCAAAACATATGGCCGCCTTCCTGACCTTCCTTCCGATCGGCGTCCCGATGCGCGCGCCCTGCGCAAGGACATCTCCGCCCAGCTCGATCGCGCCATCAACGCGCGCGAGTCCGCCTACGCTGAAGCTTGTCGCCTATACGAGGTCATTGACCGTCACTACAGTCGCCTTGATTGCATCAAACGCAAACTAGAGGCTCTCCCCAAACCCGCATCGCGCGAACCCACACCACCCCCCGCTCCTCCTGTCCAGACACTCACAACCACCAAGCGCGGCCGATCGGTCAAGAAGGTTGATGACCATGCTGTGGCTCCTGCGCCGCCGACTACGCGCATTACCTTGCGCCTTGACAGCCGAGAAGGTAGTCGCGCAGTTGCGCAGCCCAAGTCGCGCACCCGTCGATCGCTCATCGCCGCCGAACATTTGACCGACTTTAACCCCGATTCTCCCATCGCCAGCACAGAACATTCTGATGACGAGGCGAACGCTCCGACAACGTCCTCCGATTCTCAGCCGAAACCTGCCGCTGCTCCTCCCGTTGCTTCTGTCGACTCATCTACTCCCACAACCACCACTTCACCTGTCAAAGAGAAGAAAGCCGCTCGACGTTCACGTGGGTCTGGGCTGGTGCCTGGGGTTCCAGGTACCAGTGGGCCTTCCATATCGATCAGCGGTGCGCTGGCCATGCTCAAACCACCCCCTGAAGATGCCAAGCCTGGCAGTGAGGACATGCCGTGGTTGCGGCTGACTGAGTGGGAGATGACCAAGCTTCGCAAGAAGATGAAAAAGAACGCGGTGTGGCAGCCGAGTGAAGTCATGATCCATCGCGAGTTGGCGCTCCGTGGTCGCGGTTGGGGGGCTTACCGAAAGGCCAAGGAAGAAGCTGATGCGTCCGGGACTGAGTTCCTTGACTGCGACGACATTATGAACACGTACATCCCTGGAAAGCTAAGCAAGCGCGGTGAAGCACCTGTTGACATTGAGGCACCGTTTGAGACTAAGCTAAGCAATAGAGGTATGAAGCTGAACGAGGCTAAGAAGCTTAAGCGTGAGAACCAGGCGCGTGAGCAGGCAGCGGCAGCCGCTGCTGCAGCCGCTGCGGCCGCGGCCGCAGGTGATCACACAACAGCGAAAAGCCCTGATCAGCCTACCTTAACACTCAAAGGACCTTTCGCTCCAGAAGCGTCACCGGCTGCAAGCAAACCGAGTCGTTCTACCGCAAAGAAACGCAAGGCGGATGAAGTAACTCCGCCAGAAGCGACCCCTGCAGCTCCTGCAGCTCCTGATACTGTTACTCCTCCTGCTCCCGTTACTGTTACTTCTCCAACTCCCGTGGCGTCCCCACCCACAGCTGCTCTCGTTGCTCCGCCTGTGGCAGCGGCTGCTACGGCAGATTCTATAATCCCAGTAGCTCCAGAGGCCACAGAAGCTCCAGAGGCTACAGAAGCTCTAGAGGCCACAGAAGCTCCAGAGACTACAGAAGCTCTAGAGACTTCAGAGGCCCCAGAAGCCGCAGAGGCTGCAGAGGCTGTAGAAGCTCCAGTGGTCTTAGAGGCTGCAAAGGCTCCAGAGACTTCTGAGGCTCCAGCTGCGCCCGCTGAATCTACCACTCCTACCGAGGTAGAGACACGGACCTCATTGCGCAGCGCCAGCAAACGCCGTCGGATCAGCAAGGGATCCTTCACTCCTGCCGAGAGCAACGCAACCATGCCAAACCCGGCTCCACCGACCAGCCCAGATGCTGCTGCGGCCGAATCAGCCGATGCGCAGAAGCAGCCAGTCTTGTCCTCCCCAGTCAGCAATAAACGATCTCTTCCCCCTCCAGCTTCAACTACCACTGGCAAAGCACCAGCCACTGGCACGCCCACACCCCCGGTCACTCGACCTTCGTCCCGCCGAGGTGCAGCCCTGTCAGCGGAACCGACCAGCAACGCGAACACCCTGCCAACAACCGGCCGCGAGCTCCGCCGGAAGAGCGCCACGCCTGCGCGACGCACGCCTGTTCCGGAGACGGCCCGTGCCACAAGTGTCAGCGCGCCCCATCGCAAACGGAAGCGCCCTGCGCCCGGTCCCGTATCGTCAGGCCAAGATGGCGGGGCCGCAGTCAGCTACGGCCGACGCAAGGCCAAGCCTGGCAAAAAGCGCATTAACCTGCTTGAGGGGGACCTTCTGAACCGCGACGACATTCGCATTGACGAAGACGGTGTCCTGGAAGAGATCGACCCTAACGAGCCGCGATACTGTATCTGCGGAGATGTGAGTTTCGGGACCATGATTTGCTGTGAGAACCCGGATGTAAGCTTTTCTCTTTTCCCCATACCTTCCCATTTATATCCAAATCTAACAACAAACCAGTGCGACCGCGAATGGTTCCACCTGGACTGCGTGGGGCTGTCGGAAGTGCCCAGTCGAACCGCGAAATGGTATTGCCCAGATTGTCGAGTGAAGTTCAACAAGGGAGTGGATGGGATAGTGAAGAACAACCCTCGGCGGTGATGGATCGTCCTGATTTTGATCCACTACATTTTCTTTTTCTTTCCTTTTTGTTTTCGACTTCCACCGCCCCAGTCCGCCCACCCCTGGAAAAGGCTTTACATCCCTTAAAATAGTGGCGGCGACCTGCTACGAGACCACGATCTGCCAAATTTTCGTTCCCTTCTTCCCGTCCCGTTCGAAGACTTATGTTTATCATCTCGACTTCCTTATTTGGGGGTGGTTGTTTTAATTCCGAAGGTTCAGTTGTTTGTCCTTCTGTAATTCGCAGCGTGGCGAAAGTGATTGATTTGGGTGGGAGTTTGAGGGAGTTTTGATTCTCTTTGTTTCAGACAAAATTGGTGATACCATGACAGATCGATCTTTATGTCGTTCGGTAGTCCAGAATTCTCTTTCTCTCTGTCTTCATTTCATTCCCCCATCTTTTCTATGTGTACTTTTTTATTCTACGAGAGAGAGAGATAGGGATATTTACCACAGAACTATTTCCCCCTTCGTTCTTACACGCTACAAAGCTTTGGATGCTTATGAATCTCTAGGTGCTTGAGTAAGATGTTTACATACGTTAACAAAAACACGCGCACTATATACACTGGTCTGCGTTCATCATCGTCATCGTCAGAGGAAAAATGGGTTAAAAATTTTACTTCAACTCCCACTGGCCGTCGGCACTGACGATCTCGACCGACCGCTTCTCATCCAAGGAGACGCGACCGGCGTGCAGGATCGCCGTCGTGGCGATGGTGTTCTGCAGCGTGGGCAGGGGTCTGGCGTCCAATTGGTCTAGAGTGACGCGACCCTCGTTGAGGGCGGTGACAGCATCGATGAACTTCTCGAAGCTGATGTATCCGTAGCCAGTCTGGCCGCCGAAGTTGCCCTCTTCGTCCGGGGCGTACTTCATGTAGAAGCTGGGTTTTGATTTTCGTTAGGTCATAAATCCTTGGGGAAAAGAAGAGGAGGCGAACTTACGGGTTCACCCAGATCAATCCCTGCTCATCTTCGGTGACGTCGTAGCCACGCTTGGCTTGGTTCACGCGGACTTCACCCTTGGAGCCCATGTCTGATGGTCCATGTTAGCAAGCTCTCTCTCTCTCTCTCTTCCGCCACTTGAGTATTACCGAAGGAAGGGAGCACATACAGTGGAAGTACTGGTTCGAGTGGACGCCGGCCTTCTGCGGCGCCGTCCAGCTGGCGGTATACACGCCGGTGGCCAAGCGGCCGCTGCCGTCCTTCTTGCGCCACTCGACCAGCAGGGTGATGGTGTCCTCGGTCTGGTTGACGCAGCCCAGCTCGGTGGCGGTGCCGGTGGCGGCGCTGGCGGTGACCTTGACGGGCTGGTAGTCCGGGACCATGCTCTCGTTGATGTCGATGTGGTGGGAGTTGAGGTAGTAGGAGATGTCGGAGTCCTTGCCGGCCCAGGCCTTGAAGGTCTCCAGCTGCGACTTGGGCTGGCTCATGTAGCTGTAGAAGTAGTTGAAGTCGCCCAGGCGCGCCGCCTTAGCCCGCGCGTCGCTGTACGCCGGGTCGAACCGCTTGTGGTGCTCGATGAACACCAGCACCCCGTGCTTGCGCGACTCCGCCAGCAGGTCCAGGTGGTCGCGCAGCAGCTGCGTCGCCGGCTTCGTGATCAGCACGTGGATCCGCCGCTGGATCGCGTACAGCGCGATCGGGTAGTGCGTCGGGTCCGGCGTGAAGATCGTGATCGCCGACCCCGCCGGCAGCGCGTCGATGGCCGCCTTGTACGCTTCCGGGTCCGTCGTGTGGTCCGCCGGGAACGAGGTGAAGCTGGTGTCCAGGTTGTTGTAGACTTGCGAGATGTTGCGGTGGAGGTGGTCGCCTTTTTTGGGAGGGTTGCGGTTTAGTCAATTGTTTTTTTGGTTTTTTTTTTTTTTTTTTCTTCTCAATTGGGGTTTGTTTGGGAGTGTGGAAGAGAGAGCAACGTACGGATGCCTGGGAACTTGGAGCCGGATACTCCAACCATGCTCAGATCGCCCACTTTGCCCCGACGACGCAGGTCGAACAGCGTCAGACCCACGACACCGACTTTCTTGTCAGAGGTCGAGGCAGCACCACCGACGTAGCCGGTGGTGTACTCGCCCGTTCCTACCTGGTATGCAGTGTCAGGACTCCTGGTGGGGATTTGGTAGGAGGGAGGACGGGGAAGCCCTTACCATCAACACAGCGGGAGGAGCCATTTTTGTGAAATGTGAAGGGAGGGAGGAACTGGAGGAAGAGGTGAGGATTGTGATCGAGGAAAATGAGCAAAAGAAAAGAAACCAGAATTCAGTTAAAGAAGTGGGTGTCAGGAGGATTTATCCACTGGACTGGAGACCTGCGGGGTTCAGTAGCCGACGTGGAGGAAAGAAGGAGGGAGGGAGGGATTTCTGGTACGGACAATTGCATCAATCAATGATGTTCTGGGCGGAAGAAAGAAGACACTCGTGATGGCTGAGGTAACTTTGAGTGTTCTAGACAGACCATAACTTGTAAGACTCGCTGCGCAGGTAATACGTCTGTCAATGACATCGAGGTTGAGTGTATGCAGCCTGCATCGGCGTTTGAAGCGAGTCTGCTCAAAATCTGCCCAAAAATGGCAAGTCTACTGCCGGCACTTGTTGATTGGTGGAGAAATGGACTCCGCGCCGGCCGTGGGGTTGACGGATTACGGGCCGGTTACCATTTCAATACACGCGGGGTAAACATGAGGGGTTATAAGAATCTCCCTCAAGGCTGTCTGTCTGTCGGTCGGTCTACACTTTTTATCTTTGCACTCCTTCTTTTTCTATCTTCAATTCAAGCATCCTACCCAAGCATCCTACCTCTCTCGCAACTGTCAATTAAGTTTGTCCTTACTCAAGGCGAGTTTCTCTACCTAACATTGAAGCGCAGAATGTCCCGCACTCCCCTTCGCCCCGGAGTTTACGCTCCCACTATGACCTTCTTCAACCCAGACACCGAAGACCTCGATGTTCCCACCATCCGTCGTCACGCCGTTCGCCTCGCCAAGGCCGGCCTCGTTGGTCTCGTCTGCATGGGCTCCAACGGTGAAGCCGTGCACTTGACCCTGGCCGAGAAGAAGACCGTCATTAGCGAGACCCGCTCGGCCCTGGTCGAGGCTGGATTCTCCAACGTCCCCGTTATCGCGGGTGCCAGCGAGCAGAGCATCCGGGGTACCATTGCCCTGTGCAAGGAGTCCGCGGACGCCGGAGCCGAATACGCCCTCATTGTTCCCCCCAGCTACTACCGCTACGCCGTGGGCAATGACCAGACCATTTACGAATACTTCACCGCCGTGGCCGACGAGTCGCCCATCCCGCTCATTCTCTACAACTACCCCGGTGCCGTGGCCGGTATCGACATGGACTCCGACCTGATCATCCGCATCTCCCAGCACCCCAACATCATCGGCACCAAGTTCACTTGCGCCAACACCGGCAAGCTTACCCGCGTCGCCTCGGCCCTGCACGCCATCACCCCTCCCTCTCCCTTGAACCCGGCCGCCCGGAAGTTCCCCAACACCAAGACCGAAGCCAACCACCCCTACGTCGCCTTCGGCGGTATCGCCGATTTTGCGCTGCAGACCCTCGCCTCCGGTGGCTCCGCCATCCTGGCCGGTGGGGCCAATGTCATTCCCAAGCTGTGCGTGCAGATCTTCACCCTCTGGAGCGAGGGCCGCTTCACGGAAGCTATTGAGGCACAGGCGCTCTTGAGCAAGGCCGACTGGGTGCTCACCAAGGCCGCTATCCCCGGCACCAAGAGCGCGATCCAGAGCTATTACGGCTATGGTGGCTTCCCCCGCAAGCCCTTGGCTCGTCTCAGTGAAGAGCAGGTCCAGGCTGTAGCAGAGGGCATTAAGGATGCGATCGAGGTGGAAAAGACGCTGCCGGATGTTGCCTAGATTCTGTCTTCTTTCCCCTCCCCCTTCTCTAGACCTTTTGTATATATGATGAAAATGAAACCTTGATTCTCTCTTCCGATTTTCCAATTCCTAGCGCTTCGCAATAATCCGCAGATTTGCAGCAGAGGAGGGGTAAAGTGAAGTGGGATGGATTAACCCGAGCCGGACTTCTAACCGAAATCCGAGAGGGAGAGACCCCCACGCCAATGACTGTCGGGTGGGTGCTGATTGGTGGAGGGTTTTTTCCGAGTGGGAAAGTCGTTGAGGGTAGTGAGAGTGGGAGACCATAATACTAGAAACTTATACCAAGGTGAATTGATGCTACTGGCATAAGTCATGTTATTCCTGATTTATGTTGATGCTGATTTAAGCAGCTAGATCCCTCTGGGCATTCGTAAGGCTCTTATCAGCATCAGCCCCCATCTCACGCCATGCGGCTGTCAATGGGATCTGCATTGACCACATATATCGATGCTGGAACTAATATATGACCCTCAGCAGGGAGGATATGTGGACACCTACACGAATCACGACTGTATATACATACACATGCATTTCGTGGTATGAAATGATTGAGCATGGGTATTGCTCTGGATGGCAATATGCTTCTTGTCTGCCAGAAGCATTCGACTGGAAAACTGTCTTTCCTGTGTTGAGATAATCCCAGCTTGAACGGACAAATCATGGTGCACTGCGCACCAGTATGCATGATTCAGCAACAGATTTCACGTGAAGCGAGGCAAAGAGAATAAAAATATCATCGAAATTCGGAGCACACAGAGAGCCAAAACCGCTACGTAGTCAGATCACCCTGGGGTTACACCCAGCCAGGAACAGGACTCTGCAAGCCATTGCTTGGAATCTCATGCAGTCTCGCCAGTCGAGAAAGATGGCCATCTTAATGTTCAGGGTTAGAGATTGTACCCAACCCGTTGTGTGTGGTCTTGGTCTTTGACTCACGCAGCAGTTCAACCCAAGGCCATACTTAAAAGACTTGGATACTTATCTACAGTGATGCGGCCCGAGCGAATTAATCAATGCCTGATTATGTTTGCAGCGCGATATCGACTTCACAAGATGGCCGATAGTCGGGCCAGGTGGGCATTGTGAAAGAACCACTGAACTTTGGGGGGCAGTGGGCCAGACCACAACCGAAGGCAAACCCCACGGGGGCGGGCGGGAAGCAGATGGAGTCGATCGGGTAAAAGGGGGGGCGGTCGGGAGACTAACCTTCGGATTTTCACTCCTGGCATTCGCATTCAACATACCAATCCGTCTCGAGGGAGTGGTCTGTTCTTGCTGACTCTCCAACAATCACCAAGTCCCTGCAAGTAAGTAGGAGATTGGGGACATGATCCCACCTTCTTGCCAGATCATCCGTTAGGCAGCCAGGTCGATGCCAAACCAACTCACTCCCCTCCTAAACCCTACCTACCTTACTGAAACCGGGCAGTGAGTGATTACCGAACCGTGAGTCCGAGTAGATACAGTCAGCCTTAACCAGGGGGGAAAGAGAGAAGAACAACCCTGGGGAACCATGGGATGGAAGAACAGAAAAATTCATTGTTGACCCAGTGTGTCAGTCCGCCACTTCCAATCGGAGGAAGGCAAATCCGCAAAGTGGCGTCTCACCGCCCCCTCCCCCCAAGGGCACTGACACCCTTTTTTCTGCCCATTCATTGTTCATAGCGGGAGTATTGTCATTCATCCCGGTCATTCATCAATCATCTTTCCCCTGATCCTCATTTCTGCTTTTTTTTTGGCTTTTCTTTTTCTTATCTTTTTTTTTATTTCATTCTCGTCTCTTTCTTATTGTGTCGATTCTTCTGTGATTAATCTTTCATATCACTTCTGTTCTGTCTCATATTTTTTTCTGATTCTTTCGCCCTCCCTCTCTCTTTTTCTCTGTCTCAACTCCTCCTATCTATCACCTTCTCTACCTCCTTCGTTTCCTCCCTCCCCTCCATTATTTGGTTTTATTCTGGTGGTTGGTGCGGCTTATAGGGCGTCTTCATCAGTCTTGTCCCTCGTTCAATCATCGCCCTTGCCTACGCCTTTTTCAGCTTCGGGTCCCCTATTACCTCAGCTCGTCGGCGCTACCTGATACAGCACAGCCTCCCTTGCGTTTTATCCCCGATAGTGTGGTTATATCTGTCTGCTATACCTCACGGTGATCGCTCCCGCGTGACTATCTTCTGCCCCTCGGAACGGTCGTCCTCCCAACAAACTTGCAACAGATTCGACACAATGGCACCAAGAGACAACAACGCAGGCAATTCCCGCCGTCGTCCCTCGCTTTCTTTCCGCACTCGACCTCGGACGTCCACCGTATCGACCGTTCAGACCATCGGACCAGATCACGAGCTCTGGCATGGCCTTCCCGTTGTCGACTCGGACGTTGATGGGTACGATGGGCAGGTGTTGGAGGAACATCACATAGGAGAGCAGGTTCTGGAAGACACAAACCAGTTTCCTGAACCCGCCCCAAGGCGCCGCGGAGCGAAGAGCTTCTCCAGTCTGCGGCATCCCGTGGATGGGTTGCGCGCTTTGGGGCGTCGTCTTTCTGTGACAATCCGCAACAAATCCACGAGACACTCGGCCAATCCAAGTGAGGATTACACCAGGAACTCCTGGTGCAACGAGGCCAACGTTGATCGCCGTTCATCGGTCCCTGGTCCCGTCCCCGGTAATGGCCTGGCTCCTCCAGTCTTCCCGGATGACATTTATGCCGGGGCGTCTGCTCGTGCCGCGGCCGCCGCTCAAAATGAACTGGCCCGAGCGCTGCGCGATGGGGTCAAGTCTTCAGAGACGAGATTAACTAGGGACTCGGAAAGTGGCATTGGAATCGATTTGCGCGACCGCTCCGAGCTCTCTGACTCCGCTCTGGCGGTTGTGCGGATCGACCCCGTTGCTTATCTCCCTCCGGAGATTATGTCACAAGTGTTCTCCTACCTCGACCCAGAGTCACTGATGCAGACAGAGCTAGTCTCGCGCGCCTGGAGTGAGCAGGCTTCCTCCCGGCATATCTGGCGACATGTGTTCCGTCACGCCTACAGACACCATCGTCCCAGTGGGCTTTCGACTAAGAAGAGGCAAGCTGCTGGTTTGGGCAAGGCCCGTCCCGATCAAGACTGGAAGAGGATGTTCCTTGTGCGGCGCGCTTTGGAACATCGTTGGAAGGAGGGCAAAGCCGCTGCTATCTACTTGCATGGCCACACGGATAGCGTCTACTGTGCTCAATTTGATGAGTATGGCTCCTTTGACCGTCAAAAAAATACCTGCCTGCTGACTCCATTCTAGGGACAAGATTATCACTGGCTCTCGTGATCGGACAATTCGCGTCTGGGATGCTCATTACCCATGGCCATGCCGCAAGATCATTGGCCCTCCGCCTGGTGATGTTCCCGGCATTGGCCCTGTCAACAATCAAACGCAGCAATCATCCGGCAAACCGCCCTTTCTTACTATCTGTCCTCCACCCACTAGCTCTGCAGGCATTGTAGCTCCAATGGAACAGAGTGCGGACTACCATAGCGCCTCAATCCTCTGTCTGCAGTTTGATGACGAGATCATGGTTACTGGCTCTTCCGATTTCACCTGCATTGTGTGGGATGTTCAGAATGACTACAAGCCGATCCGTCGTCTGGAGGGACATCGGGCTGGAGTCCTTGATGTTTGTTTTGACGATCGGTATATTGTCTCATGCTCCAAGGACACCACGATCTGTGTCTGGGATCGCCACACTGGTGCTCTGGTCAAGAAACTGCTTGGTCACCGTGGCCCTGTCAATGCCGTTCAGCTCCGTGGTGACCTGGTAGTTTCTGCCAGTGGGGATGGTATCGCCAAGTTGTGGAATATCACTTCCGGTCTCTGCGTGAAGGAGTTTCCCAGCAAGGATCGGGGCTTGGCCTGCGTTGAATTCAGTGATGATGCTCGAACCATCTTGACGGGTGGTAATGACCATGTGATCTACCAATTTGATGCAAATACTGGAGAAATGGTGAGCGAGCTCAAGGGTCACGAGGGGCTCGTCCGGTCTCTGCACCTGGACAACATGAACCAGCGCATCGTCAGTGGCAGCTATGACATGAGTGTCAAAGTTTTTGATGCGCAGTCTGGTGAGCTGTCAATTGACTTACCTGGCTGGACGACCAGCTGGATGCTCAGCGTCAAGTCCGATTACCGGCGCATTCTTGCGACCAGTCAAGACTCTCGTGCCGTTATAATGGATTTTGGATATGGTCTAGATGGCATAGAATTATTAGAAGAGTGAAGAACTGGATAGAGTCGCTAGACGTTCTCACTCCATGAATTTTGGTTGTCGGTTTTTTTGGGGGGGAAAAGTTCATGCTGTTGGCTTGGCGGAGTATACTGGGTGTCTTGGAATCTTTACTTGGAATGCTTCTTGATATATACATTAATAGCGATAGAGCGCGTCGACCATTTTATCAGTCACCTAAATTCTACATTGACTTTGGACTTTCATTTACATATCTAAAGACTTGGCATTGTTGCCTGATTTGTAAGGCTCAAGTGAGACAAGTAAGATCAGAGAGGCGGCGATTGACATTGGACCCAATCGGGTTAGCGCCTCGCAGTCCCGTGGGTTTTGGCGACAGCAACAAAACACTCCCCCTCTGCTCTACTTGGCCTTTGTTTTTCTCCATAATAAACAAAAGTCTGAACATATTTGGTGACAGGCCTTCGTTGTTGACTGCTCTTCAACTTCCTACGACCTCTCTTCCAATTCAAGCGATTCCTCTGCCGTTCTTCCACACCCTTCTCAACCCCAAGCCCCGACCTAAAATACCCCACCATGGGCGAATCGAGGTTCGTCGAGCATTCTGTTTGGATCTCACATGCGCGACGGCAGCATCAGCAGTCGAGATCGAAAGCGACCAAGGCTAACATGATTGCATGAACCGATAGACAAGAGCTGCTGGCATGGCTTAACAACCTGCTGCAGTTGAACATGACCAAGATTGAGCAGTGCGGTACCGGGTATGTTCTCCTCGCGAAGAAGCGGCTATTATGCTGGTGGAGGACCTCCGTCGAATGAGATCGGGATATACTGATGCCCTGGGTTTCCAGTGCCGCATTGTGTCAGATCTTTGACTCGATATTCTGTGAGTGCAGCACAATCTCGCACCCCCTTTTCTCCATAGCTGACTGATTTATCTTCCATAGTGGACGTCCCCATGTCTCGTGTCAAGTTCAACGTCAACAGCGAATATGCCTACCTTCAGAACTTCAAGGTGCTTCAGAGTATGCCACTCAGTCATATCCGGTTCAGTGTCGAGACAACCGTGTTAATATCTGCTCCGTTTCCTTCTAGACATCTTCGCAAAGCACCAAGTCGACAAGCCCATCCCGGTAGAGCAGCTCACCAAATGCCGCATGCAGGATAACCTGGAATTCCTCCAATGGACCAAGAGATACTGGGACCAACACTATCCTGGCGGTGACTACGATGCTGTCGGTCGCCGCAAGGGCTCCGGTGCTCCTCCGTCCGGACCGGCTTCTCGCACTAGCTCCAGCGCTGCTGGCAGCGCCGCTCGCCGTGGCACCACCCCGACCGTGGGTGCTGCTCGTCCCCGCGCTGCCGTCGCGGCCGTCTCGGCCAACACCGCTGCTCTGCAGCAGGAGATCAACACCCAGAAGGAGGCCATCGCTGGGCTAGAGAAGGAGCGGGATTTCTACTTTGCTAAGCTCCGGGACATCGAGTTGCTGCTGCAGAGCGCGATTGAGCAAGACCCCGAGTTGGAGAAGGACGAGGACTCGTTGGTGAAGCACATCCAGGGTATCTTATATTCGACGGAGGTATGAACTGATTCTATCACCCACGCGTTCTATTAAGGGAGAGGATAGGCTAACATAAGAGCAGGAGGGATTTGAGATCCCTGAGGCGGAGGCCGGCGCGGACGAGCTGGAGACATTCTGAGTCCGTCGTAACCTTGGTCCTCAATATTAATACCCCCTTCATAGCACACTGCGCAAGCGTTAAGTCGTCGCTTGACGACGTTTGTTTTGTTCTAATTCTCATTTTCTTTCAATGTTCATTTTGCCACAAATTCTGCCTAGACTATTGGTCGAGATGATGCCTGATTTGGAGAGAGGTCGAGATGAGACGATACGTAAGAGGAGAAAAGGGGGTGAAACCGGCACAACGTGTGTTTCGCAATTCATTTCGAGATGGACAGTGGAGTGGGGGGAGGTTTCTAAAGAAAGCTTTGTATAGTCGAGTCGGGATGAGAGAAAAGGCCAGGCAGCCGGCCAACCCTTCGGAACTTCTTCAATTCTCATGCATGTCTTGCTATTTATTGTATCTGGTAAAGGAATGGATCTCGACGGCAGTTGTTTCAAGTCCATTCTCGTGTCCATACCATTCACGTCTTATAGTTCGATTACTGATATCAAGGTAACTCTCTCGAATTCGACCAAGTGATCTAAGTATAGTTATTCGATCATCACCCAGGGCCCTACGTAAGATCCCCCCCACTCTTCGTCAACTCTCGGGGGGGGGGAGAGACCTCTCGCCATCCAGAATCCTGCATGGCAGATCATATATACCGAGTCCTTTGGATCCTCGGCATCTCAGCGAGATCCCCCTCCCCTTCCCCTCATTCCCAAGCCCATGCCATTGATCAGACACCCAATGAACATTCCCACAAAAGAGGCCCTGGACTGCACGAGTTTGACACATTCCTCACACCAACCTAACCCCTTCCGTCATTACCATGATCAGCCAGCCGCCAGGGCCATAAGATCGGTTAGCAAGGCAAACCGACAAGAAGGTATATCTCTGAACATCAAAGAAATTGTGATATCGTTTGACATGAGAAGGATCCATGGAACCTTTGTATAGACTACGTAGACTAGACCACATACCGGTAGGCAGTAGATACCTGCACCTAGTCATCTCGCAGTGCAGTGCTGGGATATAAATAGTTCCGCTCTGGGAGTGGAGATTTGAGACACGGGAATCGGATTAGAATTTACGAGCGGAGGCATACGAAGGCAGGATTACGTAGGTAGGTATTTTGATGGGGTCTCCGCTTTGGTCTAGATCTCTGTTGGTTTTTTTTCCTTTGCTTTTTGCTGTTGTGGTGTAATGGTAGTGGTGTAATGGTTGTGGTTGTGGTTGTGGTGGTGGTGGTGGTGGTGGTGGTGGTGATAGTGATAATGGTGGGTTGGTGGTTTTTGACGGGTATGGTTGGGGAGTTTGGAGGATGAGAGGTTGTAATCGTTCGGTTTTTGGGGAAGTTGTGGAAGCTGTGCGATGGATATTGATCCGGATACTATTGATCTCTGAGTTATTGTTGACTGTGAGAAATCTGGCGGGATCAACTGAAGGTCAGGAAAATGCTGTTTTTCTTTAGTCCTGGACTTCGATTGATGTTTTGTTGAAACCAGAAACAAGCTCCAACGAATAATGAACGAGCCGAGGACTAAAGAGCTTGGGGAGGCGGTGGCAGAAAATACAAGCTGTTGCTGTTGTTGCAGTGCCATCCACCTTTCGTGTCAACAACCATCCTATGACCAATTCACATTGTCTAACTATGATAAGTCTGCCAGAGAAGAAGGAAAGTCTGCCGGAATCTGGCTTCGGCCATGTTCAGAATAAATCATCTTTGAATTGCGGGTCAATGCTTCGTTTCAGCATCGTCCTGTGGTGCTGGGAAAGTTTGCAACGGACCAGGTTTCTGCAACATGAGAACAAGTATGTACTTCGGATTGCTGAGTATATGTGTCTCCCGAAACTTTGTGCGAGTCAACCATCAACCATCGAGTCACTCACCAATGGGTGCTTCCAAGCTCGACATATGGATGTCGGCTAGTAAGTGAGTGAATGGGTATGCTCAAACAGGGGTTGCTGAGGCTAGAACTGACTGGGAAAGTTAGTGTCGATCTGGGACCCACAATTGGGGGGTGAAATCGCCAGATTGGAATGATTGAATATGAATGAGTTGCTTGTTTTTCTTGCCTATCGGACTGGATCATCTAAGAATGAAGACTGTAGGGGATTGTATTATCAGCATATAAGTTGAAGGATTAATAGGAGAGTTGAATGGGCGATGACTTACTAAGTAAGTATACAAGTTTTCCTGTCATTGAAGTATGCATCTTATCGATTCTGATTGGAGGATATTTCTTACCCTTCGATCGGTTGCCAGTGCTTGTTCATGTCCGTGATGGCGGAAAGCCAGACCAGCTACTTGAGACCTTTCTCGAGATTCTTTATGTGCTTGTACGCATCCTGCAAGACCGGAATATCTTAAGCTCGGTACCTGCATCGGTCGGTTGCATGTGAATCCTATCAGCTTTGGTGAAACGATGTCAACCTCAAGTAGATTCTCCAAGCACCAATCGATCAATGCTCGCTCGAGTCCTTTTTAGCTACTCTCCCGCCCCGAGTGAAACATGTCATCTGAAACATTCTCCTCTTTCGAAGGATCTCTTCTACATCGACGGCACCCGAATCGTGCTATCTGCTATGCAGGTAGGATGGAGTTTGCCGATAACCAGGGCACGGGGGGGACAGATGATCTTAGACACCCGGGGGAAGGGGGTTGGGGACGAGGCCAAGGAGACGGGATTGTAATTTGCACTAGCTACAGTGGTTAGTCTTGTTTAGAAGATTACTCAATCTGTGGGAACGAGTTAAGAGAAGTCACGATGCTCAGGCTTGCTCAGGCTTGAATTGTCGTGGGTAGGACAATATATTGCGAAAAGATGCTTATTCGGAGTTCGTATCGCGTGGGCGAGTCTAGCTCCGGCCTGGAGAGTTCGAGGTGCACTGCATAAGGCCCGGCCGAGTCCTTGGGGTCATTCGGCTTGCTGCTTAGCAGACTGGACCGTTTGGCTAAGCTGGCATACTAGTGACTCTTCCCCTCCGAGTACCTTGCCGCGTTGGTGGTGACATTTGGGGTGGGAAGGGCTCCCCTTACGTAGCTCCTCCGAATGGCTCGGAAAAGCTCAGATGAATGACTCCATTGTCAAAGCACCCCGAGTCCTTTCTTCCAACGGAAGAACGAAGAGAAAATTCTGCGTGCTTAGCTTCTTCTTATCAACCCGGTTGACGATGGTTGCCCTGCTGTATCCCGACCCATCTCTTTCCTAGTACGTACCTCTCCCTGCTCGACTTTGGGCTAGTGTATGTGCGGCACCCGCAATAGACGGGAATCGACATGCACGATTGGGTAACTCTGGCAGCAAGAGAGGGTCTCTCGCGTCGTGAGTAGAATGGGATGGCATCATCAGTGTGACGGGGGGGGGGACGGTGGTCGGCCGTGCGATTTGATGGATGGAAGTTCTCTCCCATTATCATTTCATTTCATTTCCTAACGGTCTAATGAAACTTAGCGCCCGGCGTTTTATTAACCTCAGCCTTGGCATCCCCTTTTTGGTCAAGCATTGAAGTTGCGTTGCCGGCACGGCAGAACATACAGGAACTCGGGAGTCAATCCTCTCTCTCTCAATCTTACGTACATCATAACACAGATGCAAGCTACCAGGAAAAAGCAAACATGTTTATTGACACCCGTTGAGGAACACTTCGAAAGAACCTCAAACAGAGAAAGAGAAGGAAAACAATCAAAACCCAAAAGTGGCAAAAGATGATGGGCAGGCTGCGGCTACAACCTTGTCTGTATGCGGATCATTGGGGGGGCGGATCATGGATCTTGATTCACCATACGCCGTACATTACATTATTGCTCTCCTAACCTGGATCTCTTCTCCGACTGGACTGGAATCCATCGACTCAGGCAAAAATATTTGCGCCTTCTGGCAGATTACCTTTCCCTCGTTCCCACGTAATTGTCCAATCTGCGAGTCTCCATGCAGGCTGTTGATTGGCAAGATGGCAAATTAGTGGTCTCAATGCCCCATAGTCGTACTGGCTTGGTTTCGGTACGGCACCCACTCCGACTAACGTCGACGCTGCTGCAGGTCTAAGACCTATTCTTAGGCCTGGCCTGATCGAAATGCGAGTGAGTGAAGTGAGTGAAGTGAGTGAGACTTGACTTGGGCTTGCCTGCCCACGCGGGTGGTTTCCATGGGTCCTGCGGAGGAGGTCATGTCGAGACTCTGACTCTCTTGTCTCTGTTGTCTCTTTCTCTGTCTTGTTCTGGTCTTGTTCTGGTCTTGTTTTGCCCGTCCTGGTTCCTAAATAACTTCGCCTCATACAGCTTTGCCTACTATTCTTCTTCCCCTCCTCTTTCTTCCTTCTCCTCTTCCCACTTACCCTCCACCCCCTCCTCCCTCCCCTCTCCTATCAATCCTCCCAAAGCTCGACTACCTCCTATTTTTGTTTCTTTTTTAATCTTTTTCTTTTCTCCCGATCTCTCTTCTTAGCATCCACCGTATTGACCTATCTAATCCTGATCTTAACTTGCCTCCCGATCTGAGGCGTTGAGTCCATTCATTTGTCCTTTTCTTGTTCGTCAACGGAACCACTGCAGCCGGGACTGGCTGGGCTATCCCAACCTGTGCAGTACAGTAAGCCCCCGCGCAGTGAACAGTGCCAACAACGAAAAGAGGCCAGTGCGATTCTATTGTAGGCCAAAGGAAGTATCGTCTCCGCCATTTCCGCCGACGAACTGAGACCGACACGAACTCGAACCCGGGGCGAACAAGCGAATATCCGACGAGAATCCGTGGTGGCAGACTAGGTCCGGAACCTTGGGTTTAGCGTGGATCCTCTCTGCCCGGTGGGAGCCTCAAAGCAATTTACTCCCATTCAGCTTCGGTGTTCTTCGTCGTCTTCTTCTTCTTCTTCTTCTTCGACCCTCATTAGAGCCGCCCCGCGGTCAATCTCAAAACTCCTCCCGCAAGCATTGCTCTGCTGCTCGGCCAGTATGGATCTGACTGGAAAGCGCAATCAATAAGCCACTCAACAATCAGGTCAACCTCGGAACAACATTGGATCCACCACACGAT